TCCGCCACTTAACTCGGTCCTGTGCTTGCTGCTGCCAATTTATACGTGCAAACTTTTTAACCTCATCTGCCCACCTAACCTTGTGTTTCCCCCTAACCCACTTGCCTTCTCTAGGAATCCAGTTAGTTACCCTTAATGACCAGCTGTTATCCTGTCTGCGCGCTACATGCCCGGCCCATGTCCATTTCCTCTTTATGATTTCAACTATGATATCCTCTACCCCCATTTGTTTTCTAATCCACTCCGCTCTCTTCTTCTCTCTTAAGGTTACACCTACCATTTTTCTTTCCATTGCTCACTGCGTCGTCCTCAATTTAATCTGTATTCTCCTTTCTGCTCCGTAGTTAATTACCGGCAAGATACAGCAGTTATGTACCTTCCTCTTGAAGAATAGTGGCAATCTACTTGTCATAATTTCAGAGTGCTTGCCAAATGTGCTTCACCCCTATCTTATTTTTCTATTTACTTCAATCTTGTGGTTCAGCTCCGAGGTTATTTGTTGCCCTAAGTAGACATAGTCTTTTACAACTTGAAGTGTACTATTACCTATCTCGAAGCGCTGCTCTCTTCAGAGATTGTTGCACAATACTTTCGTTTTCTGCAGATTAATTTTAAGACCCACCTTTCTGCTCTCCTTGACTAACTCCGTAATCATGAGTTGCAATTCGTCTCATGAGTTACTCAGCAATGCAATGTCATTGGCGAATACAGTTACATATAGACAGATACTGAAATGCACTTAACGCAACAGACCAGTGCATTAAGAAGAAGCCTGAACTTTTTCTAGGTCAAGGCCTTTTGGACCCAAGGTTCTTACTAAAGGCACTTAAGTACCAGCAGTTTCTTAAGCACGTGGTCACTCAGCCAGTATTAATTCGGCCTCATCACAACACTCTCAAACTTAAATGACTTCCTACCAAAAAAATGTAGGTTGCAATATTTTATTGGGAACAAAAGCAGAAGACGACATTGAGTCTTCCGCAATTTTACCATCAGAAGCATCGAGAATTTTATTGGCATATGGGTCGTTCTTCGCATATAAGGTACCTTTTTCGTCCTGGCTGTATCCCCGACCAGTAGGACGCATTTGCCGAGATTAGGACAAAAAAATATTCCTTCCTCTTGGAAAGGCACTCGATCGTTTTTGAAAAAAAATTAACGCAATACGCGTGTCCTGCACTATTGCGTAATAATTGATACGCGTTAAAAGCATATTTCACTACTGTGTTACAAATAAATGTTTGAAATGCGTTTAGAAGCCACTACGACCACTAAGATATATTGGTCCTCTTGTAACACAAAACTGTGTAATCCTGCTTAGAAACCATAAAACTTTCTTGTGCTATTTGTCACAGGACATCGTTGTACGCGCTTGTTTATATTTACAACACTTCACTGCACACCAAGTAGAAGTAGTTCACTTTTACACATTATCTGCGTTTCTTTGGGGGGCTGTCGTAGATTCGCATGGTCCTAAGTACCCTGACATAAGAAGTGGAACACATATGAAGATAGACGAAGACTGGGTCCTTAGGCCATCCGGAGGGGTGGCCGACATACCTACCGACACTGTCAGTGGTCCACTGGAGGGCACTTTTGATGACATGGTTTCAGGGGATAGCACTTACACAGCTGCAACGCAAGTAAGTCAATGTCTATGTTCTAGTGTGGAAAAACTGCACTATTGAATGAAACTACAGCTGTCATACAACCATTCACCTTGGTGTTTGATATGCTTGCGTGACTGTTGCGATCGACCAGTGTTGCGCACTCTCCCCTACCACAGGAACGGAAGCTCGTTCCTCGTTACTTCTCAGCGGTAGAACAAGTTCTCATTACAATTTTTTTTTCCATTTCAAACAAACACGTTAAAGTTACTGCGTACAGGACCGCGTTACAGGACTACGCAGAACCGATCTCGATGCACCTGAGCTGCAATGTTTGAAGTTCCCGCTATTGAGCTTGAGTACCTCTAAATTTCTTAGCTAAAAGGCAGCTGAAGTAAGTACTAGGGCAAATATTGACAAATATGCATATCTAATGTGGCGATTGGGAACGATGGCTGTTTTTTTTTTTTTGCCACCGCTGAGAGGGAACGCGGGGCCAGAGCTAATACGCTTCTCCCCAATTGTGCTGCTATGTGACGATTTGCTGTGGCGGGTTGAACCGACGCAACCTGGCTTATAAACTCTGCACAATCGAATTATTACAACACATTACTTATGGGTGACGGGTAGATGTGCGGAGCATGCATGAGACGGGCGTTTATAGCCGGTACATGATCCCCAATATACTAGACGATTCGCAATATAAAAAGCATTCTAAAAATCAAAATATTCAGCGTAGGCAACTTTGTTGTCCTAATAGACTTTGCTCACTAATTCAAAGAGAAAAATCTAAATAAAGGCTGGTGCACACCGGCGACTAGCAGTGGTCGCGCGAACAGTTGCGAGTGGCAGTAAACAGGCGCGAACGGTCGCAAATGGTCGCAAAGCGACTGCTTTGGCTAGTCACTTCCTGACCGATTTTCCAGTCGCGCGACTGCAGTCGCCAAGCTGCCGGAACCAATTAGAGATGCTCATTTTTTTCATTGCGTTGGCTTCCTGCCCCCAGATACAAACGATTGCGTTCTTCCGGGTCTCTGGCACCATGGCCACCACGGAATACGTGGCTTGGAGATGGTGGGGCGCAGCAGCTCGAGCAGTGTCGAATTTACATAGCGGCATTCACAAGAATCTCAACACCATCAAAGTAAAGAGAAAATAAATTGTGCACTATCTTTCCTCCGTATTCAGAATCGTTTTTTGCGTGAACTTGACTTGCCACCGTCTTCAATGTAGCGCATTTGGAACGCGTTTGTGCTTCATGCCTTGACAACGACTTATAAGACAACGCGTTCAAGACGCGTGTGTGCTACATTGGAGGCTGCGGCAAGCCAAGATAATTTCAAGGGCGTTTCTGAATACGTACGACTCTCGGAAATACTCCTCGTCGTCTCAGTACAGCTCGGGAAGTAGGTGGCTTGCATGGCCGGCCAACTCTCACGATGGAAGGGATGGTCACACCCACTGCCAGCTTTTTTAGGGGCGAAGCTCTTTAAAGCGGCACCCCTTCGTCCCTCGTCGTAGCGCGTACCAATTCTTACGCTTTACCTGCAAGGTAGTACCTGTGGGAGATTTCTCCTGTGCGTTTTTGAACAATAAAAAATTCGCAGCGTGCACGTTCACTGAAAGCCTATATCTCCTGTCTCTCATTCCCCATTAGCTGCTATTGCCATGCACATTGACCATTATCTGACATGAAAGGCTTGCTACGTTAAACTCGCTGGGTGTAACCTCCTTGGTTTTAGAAAGGTTTAGCGAGCGTTGGGCCGCAGTGCCATGAATACAGTGAACTAGTTTATATCAAGATCTCGAGGTAGTTAAAGGTGGGAAATAGACACGAAGCGCAAGCCGTAAGAAAGTGTGCGTGTGCCACCTTTCGTTTAATCCTTGGAATGTCCGCTGGATGGCGGTGCTTCTATAGGCGGAATATATGATCGAAAGATGCGAGGTGATGACAAGATGGACGAACGGACAAACAGACAGATGCATGGACGGAAGCACGGATGGCCACATGGACTCAAGGACAGGCGCAGGAGTGGATGCATGGACGAACGCAGGGACCGAACGCACGGACGAACGCACGGATGGACGTGCGGACACACGAAAAGACGCACGCACGGATGGGCGTATGTACACACGGATGGTCACACAGACGGATGCATGGACGGATGGAAGCAAGAACGAATGGACGGACGGATGCTTCACCCCACTCTCCATCATGCACCCCGTGGAGATGCTGCCACTTTTTTTCTTTGGATGCATCTGAGCTACCAGCGTTGACAGCATGGTATAGCGCACAATCTCTTGTTCTTCACCCTAATCGAAATCCTTGACGCTGCTGAGAACGCTGTGCGAGAACAGATGAAAACAATAATGCGGCACGCTGGGTTTGCTCGGCTCACTCTGCTGGCGGCGATCAGCAGATCAGCGCCGCTCTCCCGAGTTCTCGCTGATAACGAGATCTGTACGCGATTCTCTGGTTTTCCCTCTTCCAGTCGCTCGCATGCCGCCTCTACCGGTGTGAACATCAGTCGCTTTTTGGTCGCCAGTCGCAAATGGTCGCGCGAGCGCTGCTAGCTGCCAGTGTGCACCAGCCTTAACAGTTTGTTCTCATACAATATTTTGCGCTTATCATTCTTTTTCTGCCAAGACATTAGAGGGTAATATGTTCCAGTGCTGGTAGGATAGAGTCCAGTGCTACAATCTAATAAACCATTCTGTATGCTACAATACGGACACATTCCGACACACACAATGCAAAAACATGTACGCGCACTGAGAGGAACAGCGCAGTCTCAAGTACGCACCAGTGCACTCCAGGGAAAATTACATTTCCAGCACTTTCCAGCACATACCATACCCGTGCCACAGAGGCCAAACTAGCTTTCCGAGCAGTGCGACTCAGCTTATCCAGTGCGCTCGCCGAAGTGCCAGGGAATCCAAGCTTGTCGCGGTATACCCATTGTGATCTAGAGCTGTAAAACGGGCTGGTATTACACTGGTTGTGCTGGAACGGGGCTGGTTTTTGCAATAGGAAAGTGTCACTCTTCGTGTTAGATGTAGAAGGAAAGAAGCAGGAGACGTGATGTACAAGTTCCTCACGTCTCTTATGTACATGAAAAAGTTGTACATTTATATTGAGGGCTCAACAACTTCGAATTTTTTTACACACCTGAGCAAAAGAGCGTTTTTAATAGTATTTGCAGTGCGATAATCCTTGGCCTTGTGTTCTGCGGTACTGCAACCTGCGTTGTGTGATAACGCCTACTGCGTGACGTTCCACTTCGTCATCAGCTGCGCTCACGCGGCAGCTGATAAACAACCGCATGCCGATAAAAGCATGGCCCAAGAATAAACCAGAGGATTCCTTGTTCTGCAACTGACACTGTTGTTTCTTTGAGTACGGCAGCTCGGCTGCCGAACTCTACTACACTGGCGACAAGGGTGGGACCCGGTCGGCTTTCCACGTGCTTCTGTTGCTGCTGAAGTCAAGACGAAGGCTACGTGTGCGTCACTGCAATGGCGAAGGTGGGAAAACTTGACATTTTTGATGAACAGAGGGATAGCTTCGAGTCCTACCTAGTAAGATTTGAGCTTTACGTCTCGGCAAATGATGTGACGAAGGGCAAGAAGCTAGCTGTATTCTTGACAGTTGTAGGCCCTCGAGTGTATAAGGTCCTGAAGAACCTGTTAATACCACACTCGCCAGCCAGAAAAACGTATGACGAGGTGACGACTCTGTTGAAAGGTCACTACAGTCTCCGAAAGGCCGTGATGGCCGAAAAATGTCGATTTAACCGAAGGGTGCAGTTGGAACAAGAGACTGTGGCCGAATTCGTGGTGCAGCTAAAGCAGTTGGCCAGAAGTTGCGAATCCGGAAAGTTTCTAAACGAACCGCTTAGAGACAGACTCGTTGCCGGGCTGCGCTGCACCAATACACAACGCGAGCTGTTCGCAGCTGAAAAACTGACATTTGAAGAGGCGTGTAAAATTGCTTTAAACCGTGAGCTAGCTTCCACACAAACCCGGGCATTGTCGTTGGAAGAACACCAAGGTAGTTCACAAAAGCGCTCCGGCCTAGAAGTTGATGCTCTCGGGCAAAGCAATCGTCGCAGGGACAGCTGTTTTGGCAGAACGGAGTGCCCAGAGTGTTTCCGTTGCGGCAAACGCCATACTTCAGAAAGTTGCCGGTATCGCAAGTATAAGTGCCATAATTGCGCGGAGCAAGGTCACTTGCGAACAATGTGTAGGCAGCGCCCTGGCAGAGCAAAGGCACTGAAGGCAATCGATGGTCCGGCAGAGAGTTTGGATGAAGGGCAAGAATTATACAGTATAAAAATCAAAAGTCTGCCTACTTTGTCACTGTCAGGATTGAAGGACGAGCCTTCAAGATGCAAATAGATACAGGGGCGTCCGTCACCGTCATGCCGAAATCCGTTTTTCAGCGCGAATTTCCTCAACTGACTATCAAGAAAGCGACTGTTCCTTTAAGGACATACACAGGGGAACTAGTGCCGGTGGTAAGATCAGTGAACGTGCGATTTGAACACGGTGATCAAACTGATTCCCTACCTGTGTTCATGGTAGACGGTGGTGATCGAGAGTTGCCATGTCTGCTTGGTCGCAACTGGCTGAGGAAGCTTAAAATAAACTGGCTAGAAGTTCGAGCCGTAGAGCAAGATCAGAACGTGGATGAATTAATGAAGAATCTCGAGGCAGTGTTTTTACCGGAGATCGGGTTCATAAGTGGCTATAAAGCGCAAGTTCTCTTGAAACCAAACAGCAAACCAGTATTTTGCAAGGCTCGACCAGTGCCATTTGCGCCGAAGCAAGTTGTGCCTGAGGAACTGGCTTCCTTAGAGCGTGCTGGGATATTGAAAAAGGTCACCAGAAGTGATTGGGCAACTCCTTTAGTGGTGGTACGAAAAGATGAAGGAGCAAAAGTACGGCTGTGTGGCGACTACAAGGTCACAGTGAACCCTGCGCTACTTACTGAGCCCTACCCTCTGCCTCTGCCAGAAAACTTATTCACAACTTTAGCAGGCTCTAAGGTATCCTGCGTTCTTGACCTTGCTTCCGCTTATCAGCAAGTGGAGCTTGACAAAGATGCCAAAGGTGTTTGAACGGTAAACACACACCAAGGCCTATACCAATACCAGCGGCTCCCTTATGACATCACAGGTGCTCCTGCCATATTCCAGTCACTCATGGACATGATCCTCAAGGGCGTCCCTCAAGTAGGATGTTACATCGGTGATGTCATCATAGGAGCGTCAAGTATTGATGACTGTCGGCTGAAGCTGGAAGAAGTGTTGACCCGGTTACGCAATCACAATGTGACGCTGCGCAAGAAAAAATGCAAGCTCTTTTGCAGCGAAGTGCGCGACCTGGGCCACGGAATTTCAGCGGAGGGAATCAGGCCACTTGGGTCAAAAGTAAGGGCGATAAAGAATGCACCCGAGCCCACAAATGCAACGGAGTTAGTCTTTCCTTAGAATAGTAACATTCTACTATAATTCATGTCCAATTTCGCAACCAGAGCTGCGCCACTGTATGAGCTTCTCGGGAAAGGAAAGCGTTGGAATTGGGCGGAAAAATGTGCTTTCGCGTTTCAAGAAACGAAGAACTTGCTCTCGACAAGCTTAGTACTCGGTTTTTACGATCCAAAAAAACCCCTTGGCTGTTAGCTGTGATGCATCGCAGTATGGGCTCCGCGCAGTTCACTACGGCGTCTTTCATAATCAAATGGTGCTTTGGGGACGTTAAACCCCACAAATGAATGAATGAATGAATCGGCGCCGTAGTCTTCCACAGACTTCCAAATGGTACAGAAAAACCCGTCGCCTTTGCATTCAGAACGCTATCGCCAGCTGAAGTCGCTATGCCCAGATCGAGCGAGAAGCTTTGGTGATAATTTCAGGCCTCAAGAAATTTATTCGTTATCTGTATGGGTGGACATTCACATTGTTCACGGACCACCAACCGCTGATAGGCATCTTAGGGCCAGGAAAGCAAGTTCCATTTTTAGCGGCCGCTCGCATGCAACGATGGGCTTTAATTTTAGCTTCTTATCGTTACGACTTGAGATATAGAAATGGATCTGAAATGGAAGTTGCAGATGCACTGTCGAGATTGCCTATTTCAAATGGAACCGAGATGGAAGAGACGGATACTGTCGCTGTTTTTGAAACAACTGCGCTGACTGCTAAGGACATCGCTAAAGCAAGCAGGTATGACCGCACGCTTAGCAAGGTTTATCAATATACTTTGGAAGGATGGCCAGCGCAAGTCGAAGATGCAAAGCTCGTACCGTACTACAATAGGCGTTTGGAACTATCGTTGGAAGCAGGTTGTGTCACGTGGGGAAGTCGGGTTATTGTGCCAACAAAGTTGCGAGACGCGGTGTTAGGACTGCTGCACGCAGGACACCCCGGTGCGTCACGCATGAAGATGCTAGCACGTAGTCTGCTATGGTGGGCGGGGCTCGACATAGACATAGAAAGAGCAGTAAAGAGGTGCAGCATTTGTCAAGATATGCAAAACAACGCTCCTCGTCCCCCGCCTGAGCAATGGCCCTTTCCCGTCTGATGCTGGCAGAGAGTGCATGTGGATTTTTTCGACTTCGAAAAAACATTCCTGTTGTGCATTGACTCATTTTCAAAGCGGATCGAAGTGTTTGCTATGCAATCAACTACAGCCGCGAAGACTATTGACCGCTTGCGGAGCTTGTTTGCTTCTTACGGATTTCCCGAGCAATTGGTTTCTGATAATGGTCCCCAGTTTTCTTCGCAGGAGTACCAAGACTTCCTCGATGCTTGCGGTATCCGGCGCACCTACAGCTCGCCGTACCATCCTGAACCCAATGGGGCTGCTGAAAGAGCAGTGCAAACTGTTAAGAGGAGCCTTCGCAAGCAGCTAATGCACGACAAGGGGAGTAACAGCAGGCCGCTGAGGGAGAGACCGGACGACTTCTTGCTTGCCTATCGGACCACTCCTAACACGGCAACAGGCAAGTGTCCTGCCGAACTGTTTCTGAAGCGAACGCTGCGCATGAAGTTGTCCTTACTGTGGCCATCGTTTCGAGACGACATACAAAGAAAGCAGGAAACTTTGAAACGGCAGCATGACGGACGGAGATCGACTTTTCGTGTATTTAGTGAAGGAGACTGGATATTCGTGAAAACTGTCAGGCAAGAGAAGGTATCGTGGACCGAAGGGCAAGTGGTGCGGCCAGTTAGTCCGGTGACCTATCTGGTAGAGACTCGGAACACAGTCCGGCACGTTCATGTTGACCATTTGCGCTCACGCAGTTATTCCAAGTATGCAGGAGCAAACAACGGTACAGAGGCCCTGACACGACCCGCTACCGAGGACTCTGCAGGTCATCGGGAGGCTCCCACCACGCCCCAGCAGGCGCATCCGGAGGCGAACACGGCAGACAATCTTCCCGATGACACAGCAATGGTGGTCCCGCCACCAACAGGGGGGCAGAAATTGCCCCTGCCTGTGGCTCACGACAAACTTCCTCAGACGCCAGCGGAAGAGCCTTCTGACTCTCCACCAGCCCTGCGCAGAAGCCAGCGTACACGGAACGAGCCAGACCTATACGTGCCTCACAATTTCCGTCACTGAAGATAAACAATCTTGGGGGAAGGAATGTGATAACGCCTACTGCGTGACGTTCCACTTCGTCATCAGCTGCGCTGACGTGGCAGCGGATAAGCAACCGCATGCCTATGAAAGCGTGGCCCAAGAATAAACCAGAGGATTCCTTGTTCTGCAACTGACACTGTTGTTTCTTTGAGTAAAGCATTTCGGCTGCCTAACTCTACTACAATTGTGGAAGACAATTCTGAAAAATAGGAAAGTACCTCACTCATGAACCAGTTCAAGACCTTCTTAAGGGCCAATGAAAGAGCGGAGGTGCGCGGCTTTAAAAGTTCGACGGAGATGCGGTCAGCGGTGTGTGTTAGCATCCAACTTTCTCTTGCATGCTATACTTGACGTTGCATTTTATGTGTAGTACAAGCGTATATGCGCCATTGATGAGTTTTTTAACAAGATGAGGCAGATCGAAGGGTCGAGTAGCGAACATTATTTATGCTTATGTTGCTTCTCTTTGGCCTTGCGTTCTGCGGTACAGCAGTCTCCGATAATGGTAAACTTGGCTTGTCACTTGATAGTTTTCTACGCACTACTGCATATTTTATCGTATTCAAGCACACCAAACGTGCAACATCTAAGAATTGATACACGAAGATTTATTTTGAGTATTGACCGTATTTGAATCAATAGGAACAAATGAATAAATAACAACTGCCAAATAATCAAGCTTGTGCAATACCTGGATTGAAAGTGAAAGTCGGTTGGGCAGATAAGACTAGCAAGTTTGCAAATATAACGTGGCAGCAGAAGACACATTATCGCGTTGATTTGCGGAACATGGGACTTGTATTTGCCTGCACTAGGCGTCGTCATGCTGCTGCTGCTGTTGTTGCTCCAGCGGATGATGAAGAGCACCCAGTTGA